GGAACCTATATAGCTGATCTAATCTAAACGTGAAAAATAATGAAACTGCCAAAAAATCAAGTCATAGCATTATTCAGTTACTTAAAAACTAAAACCATATACATATTTTTCACTTAGTACTAATAAAGATAATTTGTGCAATAATTTATCTCTTATTTCTTTATAAAGAGCAATATAATTTCAGGGACTCTCACAATCACAGCACTAATTTGAAATTATATTTAGGCTAGAAACCAAGTCAAAGAGAATGTATGTCTTTATTGTGATATAAAACTCATTGAAGCCATTTTTTCACATTTTCAGAACACTGTTACTCTATTAAATATTTCTTGCCTTTATTTCAGCTAATTCAGTTTATTTTGTGCTTGTATTACTGGGCTTAAACTTAAATGTCTGAATAAAAGAGTCTGATCATACTAAAGACATAACTTAGAGATTCACAATTGTGACATTATGTATGATCTGGCGGTAGGTAGTAAATAATGCGCATATTTGCGTGAAATTCATATTACTGATTGCTGATTTGTATTATCAAATATGGAGCTTTTCACGTGGAATAATTAAAAGTCAAGTGTAATAATGAAATAAAAGTGTAATAATGGAATAATGGGACATAAAAGTCCAAAAGGCTACTCTGTTTTATAAAATAAGGGAAATAAAATTAGATTAAAATTATTGTAGTGAATGGATAAATGCTAATTATATCTTGTTAAACGTAATGATATGTTTGATATGTGTAAACAGCTTTCCAGTCATATTTAGTAAGCATAAAATTATATATTCTATATAAAAACAATTTAAAAAACCGAAATTGAGTTTAACCTTTTAAAATAATGCTTCAATTTTGCCTTTGGTATAAGCAAATATGATCAGTTAATATTTTTACAGATCACAAAATTTGATTACTATTCAGCTGATAAAATACTCAACCAAATAAATCGTTTGCCAATAATATTTAATGAAGTAAAATAATAGTCAACAAATAAATATAAAATTTAGTAAAATATTACATCAGATGTATTTTTTTTGTAAAGTGTTAACTTTATTTGAACAATAATAATTTGATGTTTACAAAAAAGATGACAGAATTATAAAAATAAACAAACTCGATTATTTTACGATTTGCTTGATCCAGTAACCACTGTCTGTGTGCCACATCTGCTTCTAACTCTCCAATTCTTAAAATTATTGTATTTTTAGCAAATAATGAAATTAAAATGACAACTTATAAATTTTTAAACTAAAAATAAATTACTTTTATACAATTTTTGATATGTTTCAGACTTTCTAAGTTTTTTTTGATTCTCAAAAAACAATTTTTGCAAAACAAAATTAGTAGTCTTAAATGAAAGTAATAATAGTAAAGTGAATAATACTATAACCTCCATTTAGCATCGTTCCAATATTGCGTGACTTCACCAAGTCGCCATTCGACTTTACTTTTTTCATTCAAGATTTGCTCTACGTGTTTTACTTCATTAAATTTGCTCAAATCCATGCCACTAATTTCTTTATACTAAAAGTTCAAAGGGCACATCTTAACTGTGCAAAAAATTATAACAATATATCTACTTCAACAATATTTCTTCTTGAAAACAGGAATAAATAAATAAAAGTCAAATTTTTGCATAATTTTTTGCTTGAAGAAAAAAAATTTTTAACGATAAAATTTTTGTCCCAAAAACATGGCTAATATATTTTGTGCTTACCAGTTCGCGTTCTTCCGCAATTTGATTCTTTACGTGAATATTTTCTTCTCTTAACTTGTTACAAAGCTCATGAATGTCAGCAAGTTCACGGTCTTGATTTGCGACACGTTCTTTGGCTAGCCATAAATCTTTGCCTGTTTCACGAAGCTCATCCTCCAGACACTTTGTCTGATCACGTGATTTTCGTAGATCACTTTCTAATCCTTTGATCTAAACAGTTAATGCTACGTAAATAAGACATTATTATGTAATTACACAGGTCTGGCCTTTCTTATTCAAGCACCACTGAAGTTAATTAAAAATGGTC